AAGCTTGCGCTACAACATTTTGTGCACAGTGAACAATTTAAGTTCCAATAAGACACACACGTGGTACCGTGAGAAGTTTATATGAGAGCGCAGTCTGCCGGCCCGTAGGCAGAGCACATCACAGATTTTACGGTGTGGTGTCTACGTTAGTACTTTGGTTTGGAGTCACTGCGTGGTTTTGAAAGAAATTCTTGTATCATCATCACTTAAAGTCTTGGTTTGGTTGGCAGAGGAGTTCTTGGGTGTAGCAACTAGATTTCCTTCCTCTGAAATGACACCGGATGACTCCACTCCAAGTTCATGTTTAATGAACTTCAGCTTCTTATGAGAACGTAGTTTCAGGCAGCTTTGACAGTGTAGACCTAGTATTAGGTAGAAATAGTGTTTTTTTCTGCTTAGTGAAATAAGAATTTCAATATATCCAGGAAATATTTCTATGTTTAGAAAGAAGTCGTTTATTACATGGAGATGGTGCAGTAAGTTGTTGTTTCATCGCTGAATGGAGAATTAAACAGCAACTTCCATTATGAAGATTTAAAAATCAGAGGTTACAATAATTTGCATCCCAACATATTAAAAAACAAAACCCTACAAAACCAAACCAAAACAAAAAAGCATTAAGAAGATCTCTGCCTCTTGATAGCTTTTTAAAAAGTACTGGAATACTGGTAACCAGACATGCATGTGCCGCCTGATGACTTCTCATCGGCTAATGGCAGGGGAGGCACCTGGGGCCTCTCAGGGCAGAAGGAGAGGGGGGCGTGCTGCAAATTTAGAGATGTTATCCAACACCTTTAGCCTGGGTATTGACAGTACACCTCGCCATCTGGCAGTTGTAGTTCTTCTTACACAGGCAGCAAGCAAAATGATTGCGTGTATTTAATATAGTGATTTGGCTCACAAGAATTACCATATAGATAAGCAGTAATGCTGTATGTGTATTTGATGTCAGTGTAGTGAATTGCAGAAGGTAGTTTCATTTAATTATAAGGAAAATTTACAGACAGGTAATAATTGTACATTTTTGGTAGCCATTTGCTGGACTTAGCCTCCTGTGGGTTTAAAATTACCAGGAATAATTGATGTCAGCAGTGTTGTCTTGTTTCAAGACATGAAAATTTATAAAATAGGAGCTGTGAAAAAGGCACTTGGTTCAAATGGGCTGTATTGACTTTTTTGAGATGCAGCACTGCATAAAAGAAAGAGGGCAGCAATGATCAAGAGTTTCCTGAAAATAGCATTGCTGATGGTGTGATGCCCATGCATACACTGGGATCATCTGTGACTTTCTGTCAGACTGACAGGAACTCTGCCTGCTACTGAGCGATGAAATTTTACTAATACTGTTTTTAGGGAAATTAAGTAATACATGTTAATAAACAACTTCTTTTTCTCTCCAAAGGTTTTGTCTGCATCACTTTGGGGTGGAATGCTAGTACCTATTGGAGACAAGCCATCCAGTATAGCTGACAGGCAAGTTTTTAAAATGTTTCTTAATTTTTTTCAGTCAACCCAGGTAATGTATAAAGAAAACTCTATAGTAGAAGAGAGAAGCAGTAGTAGTTCTGGTTCTGAGGAGGAGGAATGTTTCTCATTAGCTTCAGTTGCATGTTAGTACTCAAGCCATGCATTCTGGGTTTGATTTTCATATTGGGGTAGCATAAATTTATAATTTACTATGTAGTAGCTCTATCTGCCAATATTTATGGTTGCAAAATGGTATTAACAATCAGCAAAATTTTGTATCAGGCATAGGTAACACTGTAGGTATTTTTAGAAATACAGCCATATTGTAACTATGTTGGCTTTTTAGACAATTTTGCCCTCTAACACCTATGTTTAAAGGCCACTATCAGAAGCCACTTAGACTTAAATTTATTTACAATAAATGCTGAGCGTTGACCTCACATGATAGATATTAACTACAGTATTTCTATCAAAATTATTACAACAGACAGAATCAGACAGTATTTTGGTTCTTCTTCAGTGCTGGGGATCCTTCTGTTTTGATCTTTGTAAGTAATGGAAGAATGATTTTTATTTTTAGTACTTCCATTTATTTTGAATTTTTTGCCAAATGCATCAGGATTTTGATTTAGAATCAGAATAGTTTGGGTTGGAAGGGACCTTTAAAGGTAATCTAGTCCAACCCCCCTGCAGTGACCAGGGACATCTGTAGCCATATCAGGTTGCTCAGAGCCCCGTCCAGTCTGACCTTGAATGGGATGAGGCTTCTACCACCTCTCTGGGCAACCTGTGCCAGTGTTTCACCACCCTCATTGTAAAAAATTTCTTCCTTATATCTGGTCCTAATCTTTTAGATTAGGCAATCCTAAATCCTACTGCAACAGGCCCTGCTAAAAAGATTGCCCTCACCTTTACTGTAGACCCCCTTTGAGTACTGAGAGGCAGCAGAAGACTATAAGGTCTCCCCGGAGCCTTCTCTTCTCCAGGCTGAACAGTCCCAACTCTGTCAGCCTGTCCTCACAGGGGAGGTGCTCCAGCCCCCTGAGCATCTTTGTGGCCTCCTCTGGACCCACTTGAGCAGGTCCATGTCTGTCTTATTCTAGGGGGCCCAGAGCTGGACACAGCACTGCAGGTGGGGTCTCACCAGAGCAGAGGAGAGGGGGAGAATCCTGTCCCTTGACCTGCTGGTCACACTGCTTTTCAGGAGTCCAGGATGCAGTTGGCTTTCTGGGCTGTGAGCCCACATTGCTGGCTCATGTTCGGTTTTTCATCTACTAGCACCCCCAAAATAAATACTATACTAAAAATTATGGTGACAAAGTGAGGGTGGGTTGTCAAATGGATGTGTAGCTGAGGGGTGGAGTTCAATTTCCGGTGTGTAGTTTGTGGTGGGCTGTCCTTAGGGTAATAATGATCTGTGAGGCATTAGGTAAAAAGGTCATAGGTATGTGCCACTTAGATAAATGTACATGCTAATTCTAGACTTTCCTGAAAACTATGAATGAGCATATATCCGTGTGCTTGTAACATTTGTTCTATTTATGGGTTTCTCTATGCAAATCAACAGACAGAATTTCTAAACTGGTCGTCAGGAAGCTTACATAATACATACTCTATATAGGGTATTATATATGTAATATGTAACATACGTGTCATATAACATTGTATATATGATATGTTACGTAATACATGCTCTATGTAGGTTATATATAATATATAACATATTATACATGTTATAACTGTATAATATTATATGCTACACCATATATCATATGTATTATATATTGGATATTACATATA